CCTCCCCTCCCCTCTCCTCATAGGACACTTGTCATTGGACTTGGAGTCCAGGCTGATCTATGATTATCTCACTTCAAGACAATAACTCTAATTACATCTGTTGATCTTTCTCCAAATATGGTTGCTTTCTGAGCTTCTTGGTAGACTTATGTTTTTATTTATTTCTCTGTGTGTGCACACGTGCATGTAAGTGACCACAGAGGACAGAAAGGACATCAGGTCTGCTGGCGGAGTTACAGGAGATGGGAGCTGCTGGATGTGGGTGCTGTGGTCTGAACCCTGGCCCTCTGACAGAGCAGTGGATGCTCTTAACTGCTGACCCATCTCTCCAGCTTCTGGGTAGACCTGCCTTTTGGAAACCACCTTCCACCCACTATAAGACACTATTATTGTATATAGTTTACAAATATGGAAACTGAGGCCTAGAGAAATGAGGTCACATGGACTTCAGTGTCAGGTAGGAACATTCAGGGACTGACTGCCTCTGAAGCTTGCCATTCCCTGCCTTCCAGGTGGACGGCGTGGACATGAAGTTGCCTGTAGTGCTGGATGGAGGCAAGATCCGTGTCTCCCAACATGGGTCTGATGTTGTGATTGAAACTGATTTTGGCCTGCGTGTGGTCTATGACCTTGTGTACTATGTGCGGGTCACCATCCCAGGCAACTACTACCAGCAGATGTGTGGCCTGTGTGGAGACTACAATGGGGACTCCAAGGATGATTTCCAGAAGCCAGATGGCTCACAGGCAGCCAACCCGAGTGACTTTGGTAACTCCTGGGAGGAAGCTGTGCCCGACTCCCCCTGTGCGCCAGTGCCTCCCTGCACAGGGGACAGCTGTGGCACTGAATGCAGCCCTGAGCTGAAGGATAAGTACCATGGGGTGCAGTTCTGCGGGCTGCTCACCAGTCCCACAGGGCCACTGGCTGCCTGCCACAAGCTGCTGGACCCCCAGGGCCCCTTGGAAGACTGTGTCTTTGATCTCTGCCTGGGTGGCGGGAACCTGAGCATTCTCTGCAACAACATCCATGCCTACGTGAGCGCCTGCCAGGCAGCTGGGGGAGAAGTGGAGCCATGGAGGACTGAAACTTTCTGTCGTGAGTTACAGGACATTGAGGGGTGGGGAGCGGGGAGGTTGGCATAGAGAAGTAGACTCCCCAGTCCTCCCCCCCTGCACGCTGACCAGCATTTTCTTCTCACAGCGATGAAGTGCCCCCCTCACAGCCACTATGAGGTCTGTGCAGACACCTGCTCCCTGGGCTGCTGGGCTCTCAGTACCCCACAGCAGTGCCCAGAAGTGTGTGCCGAGGGCTGTGAGTGTGACTCCGGCTTTCTGTACAACGGCAAAGCCTGTGTGCCCATCCAGGAATGTGGCTGCTACCACAATGGGGTCTACTATGAGGTAAGGACCCAGCCATCTTACAGAGCCCAGGGCCCCCTCTGGGTTCCCCTCCCCACTGCTCATCAGCACTATAGCCTCCCCCCATTCAGTCTCTGTGTTCACTTCCGTCCACCCGCAACCCTGCTGTGGTCCACTTGTCCTTTCCAAGTCCCCACTTCGCTTCCTTTGCTATACCCTCCCCACAACTGTGGAAAGGTCTTTTAAAACATGATCGTGGGTCCCGAAGTTTTCAATCCTTCACTGCCTCCCCAGATCATTTCTCACCTTTGAATCCCAGATCTGAGCAGAAGTGTTCTTCCAGGTCACGAGGATGAGATCGTTTGTTACACCGGGCGCTCCCTCCCTCCGCTTCCCCATTCTCTCCCACAGGGGACCCCTGTGTGTTTGCTCAATCTGTCTCCTTGCAGGAGTGAGGAGTCTGAGGACAGTGCTCCCTCTGTGAATCGCAATAGTCCTGGGAGCAGATGTGTGCATGGTGCTTATCATGAACTTACTTATTATGTCTGTACATCATACACACACACACACACACACACACACACACACACACACACCACACACACCACACACACACACACACACACACACACACTCATATTGTGGGAATTCTCAAATGTGCATTTGTTGAGAGAATACTGGAAGGAATCACTACACTCCTTTTCATCACTTAGCTTCAGAAACAATCAGCTTTCCCCCCAAGCCTAGCTTCATCTTGACTCACTTTTCCAAACCAGTCTGCATGATTGGAGAGGTCCTTCTGTGGTTGCATCTCTACTTTACACATGCTATGAACTCAGTTCTACCTCGTCGGATTGGTCCCGTTCCTAGCTGTCCCTCAGATGAGGACGCTGAGGGATAAGGAAGTTAAGCAGTGTTGTCCCACCACACGGCTCGGAAACGGTGGAACAGGCTCAACTGAGCAATGCCCCCCTAACTTTTGCTCTGACTGACTGACTACTTAGCTCTGCCCCCCTAACTTTTGCTCTGACTGACTACTTAACTCTGCTCCCCTAACAAGCAGCGGCAATTCAGTGCACATTTTGGAAAGAATGAATGAATAAATGAATGAAAATTAATGAAGAAATGAGTGAGTTGGGCCTCAAAGCCACACTGGGCATCTGTTCCACTGACAATGGAGCACACTGCTTAGAGCTGCCCCCAGCCCTCTCTGTGCCTGGAACGCTGGGGATGCCAGAGTCAGCACCCCCCCTGGTTACTGATGGCATGCTCTCTGTCCCCACAGCCGGAGGAGTCAGTTCTCATTGAAAACTGCCAGCAGCAGTGTGTGTGCCACCCAGGAAAAGGCATGGTGTGCCAGGATCACAGCTGCAAGCCAGGACAGGTGTGCGAGCCCTCAGGAGGCATCCTGACCTGCGTCACCAAAGGTGCTGGGCAAGGGGGGCTGGGCTGGTGTGGGGGACACAGGTCAGGGGCTAGGAGCTAAAGGTGACGTCATTTTATGGTGAGAGGTGCTGAGGGCTGTGGATTGAGGTATCAGACCTTGGACTGGGATTCCAGGAGCCAAGGGAAGAGGTCATCCAGTCTGGGTGTCAGGGAACCTTCAGGCATTTGAGGCTGTGGGAACCTCAGGGCAAGATTTCGATGATGGATGTCAAAGGCCCTGGGAGGACTGCAGGGCTGGTGA